CAACTAAAATATCCTTACCATCCAATCATTTGCCACGAATAAAGTAGAAGTTGTAACGATTTAATAGGGTATTGGATGGAGTTGCATAAGATGAAATCAGTTACCATTGAAGTGCTACTGTTATCCCAATTGTTGAGGAACCAAACACTTCCTTCTGTAACACATGCCTATATGAACAATAAAAACATCAACAACAACAAACATATAATATCTTTGTAACAATGATTTTTAAACAATAAATGAATCATGATTTGTTGTGTTTTTAACAACCATTTGAGGGAAATTAATGCATTGTAATAACAAGGGTCCAACTTGACCTCCATATCGGAGTTTCCTCATCCAACAATCAAACCCTTTAAGGGACGTTTGATTCAGGTAATATTGGATTATCGGGGGGGAATGAAATGTCATTTCACTGTTTGGATTACAAACATTCCCAACCTCCGGTAATCATTTATTCCCAACAGTGGTATTTTTGAGTAAGATTACCGGGAATGTGATTCCTCATTCCCTTAGGTATTGTTACATTCCCGACGTTTTGGACTAAAATACCCTTAATTTTTTTTTTCAAAAATATCATTCTTCGGTCGTTGAATAAAAAAAATTCTATGAAGGTCAAATTGCAAATTTATCCTTAAATTATTTTAGATTTGCAAAAAAAGTTCATAATTAGAATTTTATATGAAGTTTAGGGGTTAAAATAAAATTTTACCTTTTCAGTAAACCTATTTATATTTTCAATTTTGTAAAAAAATTAAATGAATTTTATGAATTTAAAATTTTAATTAAAATATATAAATTAATTATAGTAAAATTAAATAGAATTCAACTTGTTAAAAAACAAATATATAATAAGGACAATTTGCTAAATATACATTCTAATAATCTTTTATTCCTTTAACCAAACACTGTAATCTTACATTCTTGTTAAACGAACCAAACACAAAAATATTACATTCTCAGTAATCTTATTCCCACCGAATCTTTTTCCCCGGTAATCTTACATTCCGTGAACCAAACGCACCCTTAATTTTAATCTCGAAATCATATTTGTATGATCAGCTCGTATGGATGAGTGAACCAATAAACTTGTTAGCTCGAGCATGTCCGATGTACTCAAAGTCTTGTGTTTCGACCGTACAAAACCCTAAAACAACATCGTAATCGACTCTTTGCACGACTTAGTTGAACCTTAACCGAATCAAGAAGTGCGAAGAGTATGATTCCAAGTAGGAGATGAATTATTGATGCTTGGTCAAGAACTTTGAGAAATGTTGAGTGAATCATATGAGGGGTAGCTGGTAGAAAAGTTTGAGGATGGCGATCTTTTAGTATATTGAGCGTTGTGTTGTTTGACAATGATAGAAGTCGTCAAATAACGGTACAATATGTAATTATTTTATAAGTTTAATAACTATTTATGTGGATATAAGAAGGTCGAGGACTGTTGATTTGAAAGAATACTTTAAGATTTCTTTAGGGAAAACGATTTTAAAGTGCTAAATCAGTTTTTTTCTTAATGACACTGATTGTGATAAAAGTATATTAAAATTTTAGTGACTATATCGCATGTAATAAAAGTTCAGTAACCAAAGTACAAGTACTAAATAAGTTCAGTGACCATTTGTACAGTTTACCATAGTAATAAAAAAGGCCTTACAAATTGAAAACACATGGCATCGGAGTTAAGCGTTGTGACTATACATCCAATTAAGTAGCCGTTAGGTTTGAAATTAGAGATGTTCTGTTGGCCTCTATTTAATTTGGTCCTTTACTGTAAAAGAAAAGAAACCCCCCCGCCCAAAAAAAAGAAGGGAGAAAGAAAATAGAAAAGTGAGAGAGAGAGAGACTCCATTGCTGTCCATTTGCAAATGACAGATTTGGGTAATCTCTCTTTTTAATTTCATTTCCCCCTTTTTTCCGTGAAGTGAAACATCAAACGAGACGGGGTTTCTGATTGGAGTTCAAAGATCAACGAGGAAAATTCAATTGAGACAGGTTCTTGACTGTTTTCTAATCGAAGATTTGTTTCTTTCTTTAATGGGTCTTTATCATTTCTTTCAGTTTCAATCATTAAAAATTATTTGCTTTAGTTTTGATCGACGGGTCTTGATTTTGACGACCTTCATTAGGGGATTCTTATTCCATAAATCCGTTGTCTGTAGATACGGAATATATGGCTGGATCAGACGAGAACAATCCTGGAGTTATTGGACCCTCAAATCTTCAAGGTGACTGATTAAACCCCATTTTTGATGTTTAAATAATTAGTGGAAATTTCAAGTTTTTAAAGAAACGTGTTTTCTTTTTAATTTCAAATAAAAGGGGGTTTGCGTGCCGGCAGAGGTGTGAAGTCTGGCGGCGGCCGAGCAGAATCGAAGAGCATTGTGCACAATTAACCGTGATGTGCTTGGAGCTCCACCTGTCCCATGTGCTGTCAAAAAGAGACCTTTATCTGAGTGAGTAATTTCTTAAAATCCTCTCTGTTTGGTTGCCGAAAAAGAAAAGAAAGTATTCCCCTTTTTCTTCCTTCCTCTTTGCTATTGTTGGCTTTGTTTGATTGATTCCTGAATAATATACGAGTAAATGATGTATATGAGTGGGTTTCTCTTGGTAGCCAAAAATGAGTATTTCTTTTTTTCTCAGCAGCAAGAAAAAATGATGATTTGTAATAAAGGAATAGTGTTGATGTTCTTTGCCCATTTTCTTTTTGTGTTTAATTCAGAAGAAATGAAGTCTCTAATAAGATCCCATCCACGCATGTGCATAGACCTATTACTGGGTCAGTGAAATTTTCTTTATGTTTTGTGATTTGTTTTGGTTTCCAGAAGACATATTCTTCTGCCTCTTTTGCTTATGGTTCTTTTTATCAGGAAGTTTGCTGCCGAGATGGCTAACAAGCAGCAAATCAAACCCCAGGTACTAATGCTACAATGATAATTTTTAGGTATTATTGAAACTTTGATGATAATGATTAGTTTACTCTTACAGGTAATCAAGGAATCAGTCCTTCCGGTGCCATTTCCAAATCAACCTGATGATTGCATTGTCATAGATTTGGATGACACCAAGGCAAGTAATGAATCCGATATGCAGATGTTTGTGCAACATGCTGAAGCTATGTCCGAGGAGATTGACCGGATGGTATAGGACACTTCCCTTTACTGACTCATCGATCGATTTTGTATCATGGGTTTGTTTTTGTTTGAAAGGCACTGATGTTATGCTTCCATTTGCAGGAGGTTGAAATGGAAGACATTGATGTAGAGCCTTTTCTGGACATTGACAACTGTGATAAAAATAATCCTCTTGCAGTTGTCGAGTACATTGATGATTTATACGAGTTCTACAGGAAGGCAGAGGTGATTTCATGCTCATTTGCAACTTAAATTGAGTAGTTACTGAGTGGTTGATTCTCTCAACTTTTTTCATTGATTTTTGCAGTGTGCCGGTCATGTTCCTCCAAACTATATGGCACAACAGCGAGACATTAACGGAAGGATGAGCTATCCCACGACTGGCTGATAGAGGTAAGCGAAATGTTACATTAATTGACATGCTCCTTGTTATGAGATGAATTAGGTAGTAATTCAAATTTCATGAATTTGACAGGTTCATTACAAGTTTGAGTTGATGGAAGAAACCCTATATCTGACTGTCAATATAATCGATAGGTTTCTATCGGCTCATCAGGTAGTGAGGAAGAAACTTCAGCTGGTCGGAATAACAGCCATGCTTGTTGCCTGCAAATACGAAGAAATTTCTGTTCCGGTTGTAGAGGATCTGATTCTGATTTCTGACAAGGCTTACGACAGGAAAGAAGTGCTCGACATGGTTTGTGATTCAACATTGTTTCTAAAATATATTGAATCTATAAGTAATAGGGGATGATACATGCATACCTCTTGATTTGCAGAGAGATTGATGATCAATACTTTACAATTCAATCTATTTTTCCAACGCCGTATGTGTTTATGAGGAGATTTCTCAAAGCTGCTCAATCTAGCAGGAAGGTTTGTGACCACAAAACATTGTCATTTTGCTTTTTCATCCAACAATATTGATTAACCTGAGATAGTTTTAAATGCGACTTTGAACCAGCTTGAACTTCTGTCGTTCTTCATGATTGAGCTTTGCCTAGTTGAGTGAAATGCTTCAATTTCCGCCTTCTTTATTAGCCGCCGCTGCTATTTTCACTGCTCAGTCTACTATTGGTGGGTTTAAGCACTGGAGCAAGACCAGTGAGTGGTATATTAACTACTCAGAAGAGCAACTAATGTAAGTCCGTCTAGCTCATCTTCTTAAGTAACCATAAAGTTATGTTCTTGCAAAGCTTACTTTTGTTATTTCTTGTATTTTTGGTGTAGGGATTGCTCAAATGATGGTTATTTCCATCAGAAGGCAGCGTCGGGGAAAATTACAGGCGTACACCGCAAATACTGTACATCTAAGTATGGTTATGCTGCAAAAACCGAGCCAGCAACTTTTCTGTTGGAGGGCAAATCCTAGCACAAAGAGAAGCATTTGCTGCTTGATTGATCAAATCCAGCAGCACCAAGTAGGAACCGGTGGTGATTTGGGTGCAATCGAGCAACACAAGTTGCTCCCTGGGTTTATGATCATGATACTGACTAGGAGTTTTCGTCCATGAAGAATGCCTTTTCTCATTTAGTTTTCGTTTTTTTCTCTTTCCCAGAGATTTATGATTTTCCTTTTTATCTTTCCCAGAGAAAAATAATTGTAGTGTTCCAACAAGATATTGTTTAGATCATGAAAACTTGGATATTCCCCCTATGAATAAAAGAACTAATTTGACATTATTTGCATTTCTTTCTTTATGCAAGCATAAAAATCAGAACTGAAAACAAAAGTACCCGATCCTTGTGAACAAAAAGCCATTAGAAATGATAACAGATTGGCAATTGTTCAATTCGAACACAGCAAATGAGCACTATTTTGATCTAATTTATTTTTCACATCAAATATGAAGAGTACAAGTTTGGTTATAGTAAGCAATTTCCAAACAGCTTGCAAAGATGAATACTTCTCCCGATGGAAGAGATTGGAAAGCACTTCACAGGATCAACACTTACCTACGAATAGATGGCACAACACCTCTGCCAGTTGTGCCACGGCCAGCAGCTTGAGCCTGCAAAACAAGAGTGAATTAAGTTAAAGATGAGAACTGATGCGCATGCACAGACACAAGGACGCTACTGAATAAGTGATCTTCATTACAGGATGGATGAACTTACTTTGGCTCGCATTGCAACAGCTCTACCTCTGCCAACTCCAAGAGATGAGCTCTTACCCTTAATCAAGTTACAAAACGAAGTCAGAAATTCCATCAAGTATATGTCAGAAAACCATAAACGTGCAAGTAAAATGTACCTTGATTTTAGCATCTAGACGTTTGAACATAGGAGCATTCTTTAACATATCCGGTATGACCATGAACCTGTTGCGGTATATTTCCTATTAAGTCAAGTTTGTCTGATCTAAACCCATCAAAACAACAAAAAAGGTGAGGGGTAGAGAATGGGAGACGGTCATAATACCTGACTTTACTGCCTCGGATGAAAACATGCTCAAGCTGTGAAACCTTTCCATCCTGAAACCAAGCCAAAGCAATCATTATAAATTCAGTTGCAAATTCATGTAAACCAGAGGGAAGATGAAAACATGCAAATTTAACCAGAGTGATTTTGAAAAGAAAAACGGAAACAAATAGTAAGGAACCATAATGCAAGAAACTCGGAAACAGCGTTACTTCATTAAATCAGTTCACAGCCTAACATTTGTAGGACATGGTATCCGTTCCAAATTTGACTGAAACAAAAAACAAACTGGAATAACACAACGTCATCACTGATCAAAACTCAGACAAAGTACGATATAGCAGTGATTGCCGATACTTTTTTTTTGGAATAATCTGGGATGATTACAATATAGTATCTGACTACAATTTTTCTTAGCTAATTGACAACACGTACATCCTACATAGTACAAACATAGCCGCTAGAAACCGAGTCCTCGTGTCCTATAGAGAGAACAAAATTCCTTTTACAGCTGAGTCCACTCAATGGTTCAACCTATTTATAAACTTAAGTCCAGGTCCAGATTCCGATGCTACATTTAAATCAAATGTTTATAGCATTTTAAGATTTATCACTAACACAGCAAAAACCATAAACCTGAATTCGTCAGATCGAAATAAGCATAAAGGAGTCACACATTATGAGCATCTTAAAATAAAGGGGAAAGGGAAAAGTGAGGTACTTTAGCAGTGAAGGTGATGTTCTCAAGCTGGCAATTCCAATTATCCTCGCACTCGACCATGCTTCCTCTGTAAAGCTCTCCACTCTTGAGTTCCACCGTTACGATGTGACCCGACGCCTCGTGTAATAGCTTCACCGGTATGCCCAAACTCCGACTTGTTTCTCGCCCGCCTGCTTTGCTTCTGTGAAAATCGCAAAACCCTAGAGATGATACTCGGCTGGGCTGTTCACTGATTAATTCTCATTCTACACCCTCTCCGGTTTAGATGTCGGCCCCAAAAGGGACGGTCTAAGATTAGCCCAATTGACTCTGCACTGCTTGATGGGTCTTCTACTATGCCCTTTACCCAATTGAGTTTATATTATATTGCTTTGCTTGCTCTGTTAGCCCAATTTAATAGAAGTAAGACATCGTTGAAAAATAAAAGGGTAACTTCACTAAATTAGGAGTGACTAGTTTGACTATATAACTATGAATTTTATCAATTTGATTAATTAGGACCAAATAGATCAAATATATAACGGTCACAAAAAATATAATTATACAAATTTACTTAACTTCTATATTAGCATTTCAATTAACAATCAACGGTAATGACTTGATTGAAATTTGTTGATGACAACAAAGTGATTTCGTTAGTGAGCGATTCATCTCTTATGATTTAGGTGAATCATGGCTGATGAAAGAATGATCATTTAACTGATATTTTTATATTGTAAAGAGTTGATTATAAAGGAGGAAGAGGAGAATGACATTTGTAAAAGGCGTCATTTCAATCTCAATTAAGGTATTTATAATAATTTTTAGTGCGTGTGTCAGTCATAGGTTTATCGTAACTATTTATCGGTTGTCATATTAGGTAGACCTAATAGTCAGTATTGAATTTGATTTGACGTGTCACGTGAATCTGTTCGAGATCTTATCTATGCGTTTATAGTTATCTGCTGCCAACTAATATGGAGATATTAAAAAAACTATTTTAATTTAGTGACCTAATTGAAAAAGTCTTTAGTGGTTAAAATAGAACAATACTATAATAGTGACTTTACAGATAGTTTACCTAAACTGAAAACTCAAATTACAGCAGTAATTCTCAAAGGAAGAAAAGGGTAAGAAAGCAAGAATTAAGAAAGGTCAAGGTTTGGAGAGGAGAGAGAATGGATTCTGCAAAGAACAAGTACAGTATAATAGTTCCAACTTATAACGAGCGCCTCAACATTGCTCTTATCGTCTATCTCATCTTCAAACATCTCTGGTATGTCCCTAACAACTCCGGAATCTCTCCTTTTCTCCCTCTTTTTACTTGGATCTCTTTCATAATAGTCTCTTGACGAGCTCCAATGGAGTTCCGGTTACTTTTCTTAAATTCGCGCCCTTTTCTTGTTCTCATCGAGCTTATGTTGTGGGTCTCCACCGTCTTTGAATCTTCTGCTGATTATATATGTAATTTTATATCTTATTGTTTTTTTATTCTTGAAATGATTTGAATTGGATGATGGGTGTAGAAAAATAGTTTACTCGGTGTTTGGTTGGAAGGAAAGAGTGCCGAAAAAAAATTATACCATCACCTGTGTGAAATTCAACCGCAGGACTTTAATCAATGATCCACTTATTGTCTTTGTAAATTCGAATTCCTATATCTATATCTTAAAATTTCCTAAGAATTGTGTTTGTGGAAACTGAGTTTTTGCTGAATTGAGATGACACCATGGAAGGGAAAACATTTTCTGATTTATAATGGATTTATTTATATTCATCAAAATGAGTAGCAATGTTGCTACATAACACTCAGTACATAAGTTAACATAGATAGGTTTACCTATTTTAAAAAACCTTTCCTCCTATTCGTGATATCTTCGGGTATAAGCTGTTGTAACTTCTCATGCCTGGGCCCTGGAGCAGGGATGTTGATTTTGAAATAATTGTGTGGATGATGGGAGCCCTGATGGTACACAAGAAGTTGTGAAACATCTGCAGAACTGTATGGGGAAGATCGTATAGTAAGTTCCATGCTAATATACTTTTGAAATTTGATTCATATACAGTTGGTTTGCTAATCGACTTGTATGCTTACATCTGCTTCTTTCCCCTTAATCATGCAGTTATTGAGACCGAGAGCTAAGAAGCTTGGATTGGGTAAGTGAAAATCATTCCCTTTCAGGAGTAATCTGGAGTTGACCTTTGAATCGTTATTGGTTTCAGGAACAGCTTATATACATGGTTTGAACTTTGAAGCATGTATCTGGAAACTTTGTTGTAATCATGGATGCCGATCTATCACATCATGCAAGTGCAGTTTTGTGTTTTTATATGCCTTTTCTACCAGTTAAATCCATTTAGAACACTTCAGTGCCTATTTACTATCACATATGCTGATCTATTTCTTCAATCTCATTTTGCAGCCGAAATACTTGCCAAGCTTCATCAAGTAAGCAATCCTTTGGTTGATCCATTTTGGGCTATAATTATACCCGATTTGCTCAAATCCTTCTAACGTGCCGATCCATGACATCTTTTAGGAAGCAGCTGGAAACCGGTGCCAGTATAGTTACTGGAACACGATATGTCACAGGCGGCAGTGTGCATGGATGGAATCTGATGCGCAAGCTAACGAGTAGGGGAGCCAATGTTCTTGCACAGACTCTTTTGTGGCCTGGTGTATCGGACTTAACTGGATCCTTCAGGTGTGAGAACTAATCAAAACAGAAAATGGGCTATTTCATGCTGTTATAGCTTCAATCTTTAGACCTAACATTTCTTTTTCTCCTCTTCAAAAAGGCTTTATAAGAAATCGGTCCTCAAAGATGTCATTTCCTCCGTGTTAGCAAGGGATACGTATTTCAAATGGAGATGATTGTTAGGGCTTCAAGAAAAGGATATCGCATGGAAGAGGTAAACTTCATTTCATCAGTTGTACTCTAACGAACAAAGCTAACAGATATTCAAACCTCGAGTGAACTTTCTTCTTGCACCGACTGCCAGTGAGCATGAAGATGCATGGAATTATACACTGTTAGTGCATCAAATACTCACCCTTTTCCTATTTATCTATAGACGAGAATTGGTGATGGAAACTACCATCATCAACTCTTACATTTGAATGTCCTCCCCTGCATTTACCAGATAGTACAGAAACTATCTACGTTGGAGTGTTCATATGCTTTATACCCTATTTGGTTTTCGTCCCGTCCCCTGTTTCATCTTTAAGCCACCTTTCTCAATCTCATTGATTTGTTTTCTACTGTCTACAGGTTCCGATAACTTTTGTTGACAGAGTGTTCGGAAGTTCAAAGATCGGCGGATCTGAAATCGTAGAGTACCTAAAAGGCCTCATATATCTTATGATCACTACATGACCTCGGTACATATAATAATAACTGTCACGAAAATCATTTTAATCTGTTTAAAGCGAGAAATAGCCGGCGACTCAAGGCAAAGACTCTGCAGCAAACAATTCTTACAGCTGATTCTTGGAAGTTTCTTTACAAAACCTGACTTTTGATGGCGATGTCTTGCCTCTTTTATTTTGGGTAGAACTCTATCAAGTATTCTGGGACTGGATTGTTGTTTAACAATGAAGAAGACAGATCATCTAACATTTGAAGTTGTGTTAATTAACCACAGTTGACATTTAGTTCTGAAGAATTCAAAGTTGCGATGTCATAGAGAAAGATATTAAAATGTTACAAGAGATTGCAAGATAAAACATATTAGTATATATCCCCAAACTATAACTCTTATTTAAATTGGTTTTTGAACTTTTGAATATTTCAATTTCATCCCTAAATTACGACTTCATTTTAAATTAATCCTTAAACTTTTGAACGCTCTAATTTCATCCCTAAATTATGACCCTCTCTCAAAATGGTTGAAGCTTTTGAACATTTTAATTTCATCCTCAAATTCATCCAAATAATAAGTAATTAGGTTCAATCAGTTTGGAATGTTCAAAAAGTTTAGGGACTTATTTAGAGTGAAAGTTATGGTTTGGTGATGAAATTGAAATATTCAAAGTTTAAGGACTAATTTAGAATGATAACCATATTTTTGAATTAAATTGAAACATTTAAAAGTTTAAGGACCAATTTAAAATGAAGCTCATGCTTTGAGGATATGTGATACAATTAATTCTTATTTTAATTAATTAAAAAATTACAATAAAAAGAAGTTGTTGACTGAGTTTTAGTTTAATTGATATATAACATTTTTATACGTCTTCACTTTAATTGCATTTATGTAATGGATTGAAATTTTTTCATCGAAAGCTAAGTTTCAGTCATTACTTTTTCATTCATTAGTTAATTATATTATTATTATATTTTAACGTTGTCACTTTGAATACATTTATTATATAATCGTTTATTACTATTATTTTATCTAATATTAATATTAATATTTATTTAATAATTAAAAAAAATATGAATATAATATTTTATAACTATTTAAAAATTTAATCCGCTATATTCTCGTTCATTGGTATAACATTAATCATCATCATCCAAATATGTATGAATAATTAATACATCATTGATCGGGTAATTCTTAAAAAAGTATTAAAATAAATTTATTTTTTATTAATGATTATAATAATTTCATTAACTTTTTAACCTATAAAAGCAATAATTAATCTTATGAAAGTAAAACTGCAAATTCCAGTCATCTAGTGAAAGTATATATCTTCTATACTATATATCCCAGAAAAACTAAATGGAAATTAACAGAGAAGCCCGCCCCGTCCAGTCCACCACCCGCGGAGTCAGCGTGATTCTTCTGGTTTTATCGGCGATGGGTGGTTTATTTCTTATCGTCTATTATCTCCTCTCCGCTTCTGCCTCTTTGCCAATTCCCTCTATTGCTATCGCTAGAGCAGATGCTGATCTCACTCAACCTTCTTTCACTCCTATCAACCGGGATCTTTACCATTCCAGGTATGTTTTTCTCTTTTTCTTCATTGTTGTTGTTTTTAACTCTTTATTGTTTTTCAATCATGATTAAAATTATTTGTATTTTTTAATGGCGTTCGATTTAATTTGAAAAATATAGCATCGTCAAATAGAGTAGGTTAGACTAATTTGATTTTTCTATAACATTTATGAACGAATCTTTTGAATCCAAGAAAGAATTGGAAAGAGTAGGTTTGCTGCAAATTCGTGCGTGAAATAGATAAGCTTAAAATACAGCTTACGATTAGAAATCTTAGTAGATTCGAGTAGAGCGATCTCTATGAAAATGTGTTATTGATTCAAGTCGGGAGATTTCTATAGCAAAATGTGTTCTCGATACTTCCTTAGCCTTCTGTTGTCAAATTGACTGTGTGATCTCTCTTTCAAGCAGAGATTTGAAGCCTTAAACCTCCAGATTAATTTTGGAGAATTACATGCTATCATCTTGTTTTGAGATTAATTTGGCATGGTGGAATCTGCAATAATTGAATGTCAGATTTGACCTTTCTGCCATACTTTTTTAAGTTGAGTGTTTTTTAGATCTAGACACATGAGAACAAAAGGAGTAACAGTCCAAGTGTAAGACTGGAAGAACAAAATGAACCAATCTAGTCAAGTCTGTTGAAATGGTTGAAGAATCTAGTTCAGAAACCAAACATATGCTCAATTTTTTTCAATCCTCGTTTTAAAAGTGCCGCTGAACTTTATTTCAGAGTTTTGTTATCATGTTTTAATTTATTTTATATTTTTGCAGTGATGCTTTGATTGAACAAATAAAGTCTTTGGTGCATAGACACCCTGACAAACTCACTGTAGGTGAACTACATCTTATATTTGGAAACAGTTTTTGTATGAGAATTTTGTTTTATATTTCATGCCATAAACAGGTAGAACAATCCGAGCTGGAAACAAAGGGTACAAGTCAGAGATAACTGTTGTTACTTATTTCCATAGTAAGAAAGACAGTGATGACAAATCCAAGTTCCGGATCCTTCTTGTAAGTTTCTGTTAATCATATTTGGTAAATAGTACGGCAAGAACAATTGATAGTTTGCCTTGTAGTTATTGAAGATGGTACCAGATTGAATCCACTGTTTAAATTTGCATACAGTCAACGTATCTGCTAACCTTTTTCTTGTCTGGTATGTAGTTAATACATGATCTCAGATTAGTACTTGCTGGTTTTCTTGACAGATTATTCCTTGTCTTCCAGAGTTTTGGGCAGCATGGACGGGAGCTTATTACATCTGAACTGGCATTGCGGATCTTGTCAATCTTAAGTGAAGAACAGTTTCTACCAAAGATGGACCGAGCTTCCTTAAATGCTATCCTCGAGAATGTTTGTTGTAAAGGTACATTTTTACTTGCAAGAACATTCCTGGCTTATGTTGGGCCTCTGTATAGTGAAGTGACTTGTTTAAGAAAATTTAGTTTACTCAAACTTCAACTGCGAGCTTGCTACAGGAGGAAGTATGAATAAGATTTTTTTTTACTTAATACGAGCATGTGATGCTAGATTGCTTGAGATAATATACAGACCATTTACACTTGAGTGCTAACATCCAATAATATGGCAGGTAGTGCCGATGGAGAATCTGAACGGTCGGAAGCTTGTTGAAGCGGGAAATCTTTGTGAAAGGAGAAATGGTAGTTCAATTTTATCTTAACGATATAAAATACCTATGATCTTGTGATAAATTTGAAATGTTTAAATTGGGTTTCTTTGGCAGGGAGAGGAGTTGATCTTAATAGGAATTGGAGTGTAGATTGGGGAAAGAAGGAGAAGGTTCATCATTTCTCCATTTTCTTCATGCAAATCCTCTTTGACAGAGTTCTTACTACAGTTTCATGTTTATGTTGTATGTCCATTTACATGATGTGGTTTTTCATTCAAATATTTTTTCAAATATAGGACTATGATCCATTTGAAGAGAATCCTGGAATTGCTCCTTTTAGTGAGCCTGAGACCCAGATCATGCGTAAACTGCCTTATTTGATCCTCACATATGGATTAATGTACACTCTGGAATGGAGGTGAGTGATCATGAATTGCATGTAACAATTCTTTCTTTTACTTCAAGTACTGGTTTTCCTTAACTATTGTGCAACTTTAAGCTATTATTTTCTATGGTTGTCATAAAGTACCTTTTTTGGACATTGAAACCTCTAGGAGATCTAGATTCACTAATAGGAAATTTTCTTTCACCTATTGTGAAGAGGAATCAATCCTGCTGGTTCAGTATGCTTCCATACATGACAAAACATAAAATCTCTAAATAAAATGATATTAATCCATAATCAAGAGAAAATTTGGATGTCTAATCCTGTATAATGTTGCTTTATGCTTTTTGTATTCGACTTTTCTCTTAGAAATAGGTCAGATTTGTTTCCTATATGACACACTTATTGTTTTTTTATTTAATTCATGTAGGCACTATTTATGCCATATGACCAAAAATAGAACCCCGGATGGATTGCCTTCTCAACAAATGAGATTGTTGCTCGAAGAGCTGAATAATGTTCATTGCCACAAGCGTTGCATGATTGGTTCTGGTGGTTCTGTCGGGTTGTGTTCTTATACTTGAAGCAATGATGATAAGTCATGATAGTTATATATGCATATAATATCTACTTGTAATACTGTAATACTCCAAGAATGTGAGTGATAGGATCAGTCTCAATAGAGCTTTTGAATTAATCATTTTACTAGTAGTGTAAATGGTCCTTGACAATAACATCAATCCTAAACTACCTATTTTTGTACTAGAACACTATAGTTTCAGTGAGTTGCTATATATGCAAGCAAAATCATCAAAATCATGTACATAATAGCAAAATATCCTATTGGACCAGCCGGTTGAACCCGTCATACAGGTGGTACTACAAAGCGACCACTGGTTTCAAATACATTGTTAAAACTAAAAAAAAAGTTGTGTCTATATTTTACTTGTTTTCATGCAATTTCATTCCACTAAGATATGAATGTTATTAATTTCAGGTATCTAGCACATGGACAGCAACAGATTACATGTACGATGTTGTAAGAGTTCCCATGCCATTCACCTTTGAGGTATTTGGATTGTAAACTCTCTTTCCACAAAAATAAATAAAGCGAATTTATCTCATTGATAGCCATACTTGTATGTTGGGTGGCAGATTTATGGAGATAGTACGGCCACAACAAAAGACTGCTTTAAAATGTTCAATCCAGTTGACCACACCACCTTCAAGGTATGTTAATTTGCCTCTTTCACTATTTGGTGTATCGGTAACAGCTAAACAAAGATTTTGTTTGGGTTTTCAGAGAGTTCTCAATGACTGGGCTGCTGCTTTTTTCACAAAGTTAAGCTGGGACCACGGCAGATTGATGTCCAGTCCAAGGCACATAAGGTGGACAAATGGGTGTCCATTGACGAATACTTTGATGGTTCCTGATGGGAAGGAGAAACAGATACGGGAAGAAGATGGAGGTTCTCGAGGTCGGCCAGGAAATAAGAACGTATTTCAGACTTTTCCTGTTGTCCTCGGTACTGCTATTGTTCATGTTCTGTTCTCGAATTTCGAAAGCCGGCAGACAGATTGTTTCAGCCATTCCTCTTTGAATTTTTATGTTGGATACAAATTCAGGGCAACGGCACGAGAATGTTGTGATTTTGTACACGTTAATTAGATGCCTCCTTTTTTGTATGTCGATTACATTCTTCTTAGATACTGTAGATATTATTTTTACCATTTCCGGTGTAGCAAAGCTAATTCTTGTTAGCAAATTAAGGCACAAGCTACAGCTATTGACTTCATTACACTTCATTTTTATTTTTATATTTGAATTTCGAGGGTTTATTTAGAGCTTTTGCAGGCATGTCAAATATATTATTTCTTCTATAAATGAAATATGGAGAACAGAACTTAAAGTACATTTTGAATGTTGTTTTCTATATAGTGTTACTTGTTATGATGTATGATACACAACATATAATGTTTCTATTTCGAAATGGTGAAAAGAATGGTGTCTGACCCATATGCAAAGATGAGAATGGCGGACTTCTTCATGTTACGTATAATAGTCCTAACATATGGCGAATGTTCCTCATTCCAAGCTTGAAACACGGCTCGTAGAGTTCGATCACTCCGATGAGTCACAAGGATGACCCCGCATGGCAACATGAATAGATTGTTCCTGCAAAACAGTTTATGAAGGAAAAAAAGGTTTACTGGATGTAGCAGAAGATTCCCATGTACGTTAAAAGTGTCCGATACAAAAAAAAGTCTGAGTAGGTTCTTTTAGCTGAGGAACTTGTTAGCCGGAACCGCAAGGAAAACTTGCTTTGCTCGTTTTTGTGATGGCATTATACAAAAGGTCCGTACATCAAAAGATCATGGATTGTCAACTACGACTTCACCGCTTGCTTCATGTATCTCAGAGCAGACCGCAACATTGTCCTAGCTTTCCTATCAGGAGCACAACCAGACAAAATCATTTCTTCAATGACAGACGGGACCTGAATCCAAACCACAGGGCATCAATAACAAAACATGTATGTTAATTATAAACAGATGCCATGGTGCAATGCATTACATCCACAGCAACTATGATAGAAGCAGCATTGATTAGACCAATACCACAAATTATTCGATCTTTCAATGTTTAGTGAAAAGGACAACTAGAAAAACTGGACTCAATGTGCTATATGAAAGAGAATATACCGAAGGTGTGGGAGATAGTGAGATGTCGGTAATATGGAGATATATAGTTGTTTTCTTTTGAGGGTGACTTATAACCATGACCCAGCATATAAAGAGCAAGAATACAAAAACAGCAAAAAAATAATACACTGGGCAACTGATCTAAATGCTTATGTATACAAAAAATATTATTTATGATACAGGAAAGCAGCGGGCTAACATCTCATCCTCATAGCAGAAAGAACATGTTAATAAATACCTTATGGAACTTGTCAACACGGATAAGAGTTTTCATAAGTGTGGTACACGTGACTACATCCGCTTTCACACCCTGTATATGAACCAAACCAGATAACAGTGTCATAAGTATCACTCAAATGAATGGTACTAATAATTTTAAATCAGGCAACGTAGGTAACAGGGTACTCACATTTTCCTTCATATATTGCAACACAGCAAATGCTCGGCATCTCTTCTATCCTCTCCAAAGCATTTATTAATGAATTGAGAGCCAAGAGATTAGGTTTCAAGCCATCTGCTCCCATAACCCTCAATGCATTCATTGCTTGCTCAGATAAACCCTGTTTAAAAGCAAACAAAAGATCATAAAGGTAAGCTACAAACATCTCATCCAATATAAGCTAGCTCTAGCTAAACCTCAAACCTTTTAAGTAGAATAATAAACTGACAGAGCAATAGAAAATGCAGTCTTTGTGCCAAGCAGATCATCAGACTAGTATATTCTGTTATTGTGACTACATAGACCCAGATAATCCTGCCTAAGCATCTCGACTCACTCGTCAAAAGTATACCTGGCACCCTTTGCCCAAACAGTTCCCTACTAATCAGGAATCATGCACGAGAATTATCATGATACAGACTGCATTGAAGAGGATCAGAACTCTCAACAAATCTATATACTATGAACTCACTAACTGTGACTCCCATTGGTGGAGAATATATACTAACATGAATTTATGATTAAGGCAGCAGCAATCAACTCTACAGCCAACGAATTGATTAAAGAATTCGTATCATAGTAATTCACGAGTCAGGGTTAAGCAGGAAACTTCGGCCTAACAGCAGAGAACGAGCACTGAAACAATGATAGTATAACTTACCCTTTGTGCATATTCATTTATTAAGGCATTATGCATGGTTGAGGAAGGTTTTAGTCCATCAGATTTCATGAGCTCCAAGCACTCTATGGCATCATTAAACCTCCCAGACTTTCCATAAATATCTACTAGTGTGGTATATGTTACAATATTAGGCAACAAACCTTCGGCCTGTATCTTCCCCTACAAGCTCTTCACATCGTCCCACCTCTCCTGCTCTCCTAATGAATTTATCATGATATAATAAGTAGTAGTGCATGGTGAATACCCTTTTTCTTTCATTTCCTTAAACAATTGCTCCGCTCTGTCATGCCACCCAGCTTTACAGTGGCAATCTATTAGCGTATTCTAAGTAACAGTATCTGGCTCGATCCCCTCTGATAGCATCCGATCGAATGTGGCCATGGCATGATCAAGACAGTTATACTTTCCAAAAGTATCAATCATTACATTATAAAAATGTCTATCAGGTTGTATCCCATTACTCTTCATTTCCCTCAAAACCTGGAACGATCGTTGCCATTCTCCTTTAAA